TATATATCCATCTACAAGGTAGAACTAGTTAAAACTAAATTAAGCTCAATATTCATACAGAAGGAGAGTTACATATTTGAATTCATGGGACTTGAACGAAACATAAATTTTGTTCAAACATTTAAGTATTGTTACCACTTTTTTTTGCAATGAATAGTCAGTTAGCTCTATAAGTAAGAAAAAAAATCAGTGTATCACATAAATGCTTACTGAGAATTGTAACTAAGAAAAATTGAACACAAAAAATCTGAAAATGGCTATTTAGAAGAATAAATAAAATTAATTGTTATCATTTAATAAGTTAAAATAATGTTTTTCTCCAGTTTAAAAATGAAACAAAATGACAGGAATGCATACAGATATAAAAACAAATATATAACACAGTTGATTCCCTAAAACATTACAAACTACTCTTTAAAATGTCTGGTCTTACGACTTGTTCATCTTGTGTTGAAGGTACTTCACACCGATAATGTCTCCTACTTCATCTATCACTTTTAAGGCCTGTAAACATTAAGTGCAATTTTTATTTTACTATTTCATTTTCTCATCAATCTTAAAATTACAAGTTTTCATCATAAAAACCACAAAGTAGTATTTGTTCACAGTTTGTCTGTTGCTTTATATAAAGTATAATTTTTGGTTTGTTTCCTACAGATGAAACATCTAAATTGATTAACCTCAATACAAAAGAAACAAGTTTGAAAATACAAAGCATCTTTTTTTGGGGGGGGGGGGGCGGTTTTAGGATGGAAAGAGTTACTGCCAAAGAATAGCACATGTATAAACAAAACACACAAAGACCAGCACTTTGGTTGGATCAGTTACAGAACCCTTGCTATCTTTAGTAGTTGATTGGAAAACATTGCTTATGATATGGCAGAGTTACATATATATATCTGTAATATTTTTAGAAAACTTCCTAATGTAGTATCACATGTATACAAGTTTTGTAATAGATTAAGCTAGAAGACGTAAATGTAAACATTCTACGTGATAGATTTACCTCATCCAACATTTCCTTTGTATGTGCTGCAGACATGCAGAATCGAGCCCTGGATTCTACCAAAGGTGTGGCAGGGAAACCTACTACCACTGTGGCAACCCCTCGTTCCATAAGAATACGTTGAAAAGCTCTAATAAAGAAGAATAAACGTTACTTCTGTGAGGTTTTTCTGCTTTCTACATCAAATTAACTACTATTAAACTATTAAAACTTTGTAGAAATGATTTAATCATCACTGTTTGTACTTTAATTTTTAATCTCTCATGATTACTCATTTTATTAAATCTCAAAGTTAAGCATAATGTCAGTGCTTTTTCATATCAGTACTTCCAACACTATACATTTTAATACTTTTAAATTAAAAATATTAATATATAAATGTAAGTTCAGGCAATTGCATATTAAGCATTTTTATAAACTATTAAATGTTTTTAGATATTATACATGAAAATTATAGTCATTTATAGTTCAAATTGTGATCAATAAAAACATATTTTACTTCAGATTGGAAACATGGAAAGTTGTAATCTTACGCAATTTTTGTTGGTACATATAAAAGAACTGGAACAACAGGTGAGTAATCATGACCATAAACAATGAACCCCATTTTCCTCAAGTTATCATGCACATAACGGGTGTTCCATGCCAACTGCTGGATCTTTTTCTGTCCTATATAAACAAACCAAGAACAAACTGTTTGCATGATATATACTTTACAGTAGCTCTGTTTTTAAACAAAACTTAAAATGTCTTTAATGCAGTAAAACAGATAAAAGTAAAGTGTAAGATAAATCTGAGTGAGCAATGAGTTAGTTACTTCCCTTACCTATACCAGTTCCATCTTTCCCCATGATGATTTCCATAGCGCTAACAATCTGTTGTGCTATAGGTGCTGCAATACTGTTGGCATACACTGCACTATGGGAATGGATCCTGATGTGATGAATCAGTTTCTAAATATAAAGAAAAGGTTTCTATTAACGAAAAAGGAAAATTCTGAAACAAAAGTTTGTAGTTAATAAAAATTCTAATCAGTAGTATAGAAGTAACTTTCCATTACTCAGAAAATTTTGGAATTAAAACAAACACACATTCAGGATTCCCACAGCAAATATGATACAAAATTCCACAACTTCTTCCTGACCAAAAGTCAATTTTCCCTGACCAATAAATTTGAATCAAACTGAAAAAAAAAAAGAAGATATTACTGTCTGTCTGGATCAATATTTGAGACTGAATAAATGCTAACAAATACACTTAAGCATGTTTTAATGACAAGGAATAAAAAAATCAAATTTGGCTTCCATACAAGTCCCCTTACAACCAACCCAAACCACCTTTACGTTGATTTGAAAATACAATATAGTTTTAATTTTGGTTATTGAAAATATCAGTTACTGGATGTGGTATTATATTATTGTAATATATGTAATGTGTGTATATATATATATATTCAACTTTGTGTTCGATATTATAGATTACTGAAAAAAAAAGTAATTTCCACAATACATATAACAATTTTTTATACTTCAAGTAAAAGCTAAGAAAACATACTTACTTTCAAATAAATAGAACAAAATAATTACTTTCATCTTAATGTTACATTTATAATTTGTTCAAAAGTGCATTTGAATATTGTTTAACAAGAACAAAAATTTAGTAAATCTGTTCTTTGATTATTTGACCTATAGAAAATATTTCTGCCTTCTTCCCCTCAATTTTCCTTTTATATCTGTTAGATGTTTTATTTGAAGAATTATTTTAATGAAATAAGATGGCAGATACTTTTTATCCTAATTATATATATCTATCTTTTAAATACTATTTACTTAACCAAAGATGGATATACTTAATAGACACATATAACCTAATATAGTTGTTGATTTTCAAGTAAAGCAGTTGCTGACCTTGCTACCTGCAATATATCCTCCAGCTGCTCCAAAACTCTTAGTAAACGTTCCCATGAGTAGATCTATGTCTCTTGGATCACAACCATAAAAGTCAACAACGCCTCTTCCATTTGGTCCTAATGCTCCAATACTGTGTGCTTCATCCAGGTACAGGTATGCATTATATTTCTTCTTGATTCTAATGATTTCTGGTAACTTAGCAATAGACCCTTCCATACTGTATACACAAAATATAATCAGTGAAAACAGAAGTGATAGTAAACAGCAATGAAAGTACAATGACACAAGCTTAAAATATGCTTGACTATTTTGTAAGTTTAAGAATAAGAAGACAGTTGTCTTTTATTAGTTGCATATATGGTAATGTAGCCTGCATCATTACATGACAGTGGATTACAAATCACACTCAATGGATGTATGAACCCACAAAACCAATACACACATAGAATTTATGTATTCTATCCTTTGAATTAAGCAAGATTTTAATAAGAATTGATAATGAAAACAGTATATGACTCAGCAGCGTGAGATCTGAACAAGTCACTCAAGCTTACTGCATTATTACTACAGCTGTATGCAACAATTAAATCAAGCTAGTGAAACAAGACTTGTTGGGCAGAACTTGCCAATTTCAGTTGACACAAGAGGGAAATTTGTATCAGGGCCTTCCTGGTCAAACTGAAATGAAACAAAATGTCAAATTCTGTGTTGGTATGTTTACTGAGAAAAAATTAAAATAAGTTCAAGTACTTATCATTAGAAGAGATTTTATTAAAACTATGATTTGATTGTATGATTGTTTGTAGTTAAGTACTAAGCCACACAAAAGGCTATCTGTGCCCTGCCTACCACAGGTATCGAAACCCAGTTTCTAGCAGTGTGAGTAAACAGACATACCACTAGGGGCGATTGTATGATACTGAGATTTTTTTTTCTTCAAGTTTTCCATAATATTCTCATTTCCAGCTGTAAATGGCATTCAGCTCACCTGTAAACTCCTTCCACAACAATTATAATCTTTTTCCATGGTAGGTGGGTTGTTGGTTGACCTGAAATTATTGCTTCTCTAATTTTCTTTTCCAGATCTATTGGATCTAAATAAAGAATATTTGGTTAAATTGCTCCACATAAATGAATATATTTATTATTTAGATAAGTACTAAAGATCTAAAACACAACGTAGACAATTTTATATATATTATTTAACATCACACATGTGTGATATTATATCATATAGTTTAATTTTTCCTTTTAATGTTAAAAAAAAAATCATACTTAAAGTCATCTTCATTGGTTGGTCCATCGCATCCTTGATGACATGCAATAAAAATGCAGTATAAAATATGTTGTTACACACTACATGCAATTGCACACATTCATATATATCTTTTTTAATAGCCACTATAATTCAATAATTTAGGAACTATTGGAAAACACCTTTTAAATGAAACCCAAAATAGCAGGTCATACTAAGTAATACAATTAACGATTATTCTGTGTATTCTTAATATTTTAAACTCATTTTACCATTATGCTTGACGACTTGAATAACTGCTCCAGATAGTCGGCATCCTAGTACCAGTGAGGCATGGTTAAGTTCATCACTGAAAATTAAACACCCTTTCTTGACAAGTGTGGGAATATTGGTGGAATTTGTAGCAAAACCCATTCCAAAAACAATGCTGTCTTCTACACCAAGAAATTCAGCCACCAGAGCTTGAAGCTCAATATGAACATCCAAGGTACCTTGGTATGAAAAAATAATGTTTCATGTTACATAAACATAATTACAATATAGACCCTTTGATTTAAATTGTGGTCATTGGTTATCCATATATACATTTTTTAAATTTGTAATAGAAACTAGATCAACATACATACACCTCTGCTGTATACTCGACCTTAAAATCATCATATTTAGATCATTATTGTATGTTTAAGACAGCTTCAAATTTTTCCTTTCTAAATTTTAAAAAGTATTTTCTATGTTAACATATATTTACTAACTATTCAAGCTACACTCTATGGTATATTAAGGTCTCTTCAATGCTGAGTGATATTAATTAAATGTAAGAACCCTGAAAGCCTTATACACAGTCTCTTAAAACTGCTCCCAACTTCAAACCGTGCTTTATCTACATAGCAATGACTTTTTATAAACCAAATTTCCTACTTCCCACAAAAACCTCAAACTATATTGATTTTTTTGTCAAGTACTTTACATTTTCAACTCAAGTCCAATAAAGTAACAAGTTATCAAGATCTATATCATGTCGACTGAATAACAAGTATTTTAAATTTCACACAGAGATAATATATCATTTTGCTTAAGAAAAAAAAAGTACTACCTTCATTCGGGCAAGTAGTCTTCATACTTACCTAGTTCATGACAAGTGCTCCCAACTCCAACACCATAGTGATGAATGCTCTCCTCTACGGCATCAGCACATGGGCCATCAGTTTGTGCAAACCCTAAGTAGTTATAGGAGCCCATGTTTAGAACTCTAATAGATTCCCCTGTCATTCTATAAAAATAATTAAAAAAATAGTAAAGTGCAAAAATTCAGAAGATATATATCTTTTTTTGTACTTGAGTATAAAAATGTATATAATAAAAAAGGACCCCATACCCTTCAAATTGCCTAGTGTGAAGTCATAGTTTAAACTGAGACACCACAACATATAGGAGTCTGAAAACAAACTACAGAATATTAACATTTGTTAGCCATCATGTTGAATGATGCCTGAAAGCAAAGTTTTTTCTGAATGATCAATCCAGAACTCATCAGATCAGCTGGACTGAGTAAAACTCATCTCTGGCATTGAATATGGCAAACATAGTGTAATTGAAATACTATTACTATACACTCTTCTAATTCTTGAAAATCCCTAAGGGGATAAATAAAGCATGTAATGTTAGAAAATATAAAAGGCTTAATACTGATATCTTATGACAAGTATAAATAATTATAGTCATGCTTTGCCAGCTTGGAAAAGGCATTCACACCATAACAATTGTTGTCATAACAAATAGCTTATTTAAAAAGTGTCTCATCCACTACTGTGTTTGTTGTGTCCCTGTTGGCCTGATGAGCTCTGGATTGAGCAAAATACATCATTGACATTCAATATGGCTAACACAGTGAGGTCAAAATATTATTATTAATCTCTCTTCTGATTCTTTAAAATCCATAATTGACTAGGTAAAGAAAGTAGTGTTAAAAATATAATTAGCCTAATACTTGTGTTATGACAAGTATAATTAATCAAGCCTAACATTATAATATTGCACAGGCCAAGAATTAGAACTTAGGCATAAACGTTTTTTTTATTAGTTTGCTTTTTGTTGTTAAGTGTAAAGCTATACAAATGGGCTATTTGTGCTGTGCCAACTACAAGTATCAGTATCATAACCCAATTTTTAATGATAAAGCTTTCAGACTTACTGCTTAACCACAAAGGGACTTTTCATTAGACATATAACCCATTATCCATGAAAGTACATTAATCACTTCAACAAACTGCTGCCATCTTAGCTTTCTTCTTCATTCTTCATTAGCTATGGGTACACTGATGGTTAGTTAAAACAATGAGTGCACAAAGAGAACAAGCTTTTTTTATACATTTTTAACTATCAATGCATAAAAAACATGGTATTTTAGACTGCAAAAGTGCATTGAGTATTATTTTTGTTCATTTTTTGACTGCATCCCTTTTTAACTCTGTCTAGGAAGCAACTGAGAACTATTACTTAGGGTGGACTATGGCCAACTAAGTCTGTCTGAAAAGCTATTCAATAAAGCTGTAATGTTGAAGACCTAAGCTGATGATACATAAAACCTACAATAAAAAGATATACACTAAAAAAAGGATTTCCAGTTTAAAGTGGTGTTCCATCACATTTTTAGGATTATAATGCTTTAACGATTTTCCAGTTTAAGTATTCTATATCACAGCATAAAGGAAAGTACAGCTCATTTGATATTAAGAATAAAATTTTAAAGGGCAAATCGTAAATGGTAAATTAAAATACTAAATAATTTGCACATATTACACAAGTCATGGCTTTAATGTTACAATTACTATAAATAAATAAAAAAGATTACACGACAGCTGTACATAACTTAACTGAAATAAAATCACAACACAGCATTAACAATTCTAGTATTATTTGAAATAAAGATTTTGGTCTGGCTATCATGAAAATTAATTTCTGGAAATGTATTTTGTAAGTTTAGGTGGCATTAAAGGTATGGTTAATTATTTTAAGACTGTAAGCACACACAAACATCTGCTGTTTAGGTATACGAGTTGTCTCTCATTGTAGCTATTTGCTCCTGATGATGGTGGCATAGATCACCATCAAAATATGTGCAGAATATCTAAAAGGGCTTGATGCCGTTTTCAAGTTGTATTGTACAAATGTTTTTAAAGTTGTGGTGTGGTTTTAGTTCAATTACAGGAAAGTAACTAAAGTAAATTCATGATCTCCATTAAGATTATTAACCGAAGCATTACAAGTAATTGCAATATTTTATTTATTGTTTAAATGGTTTTTCAATTCATCTTTAAATATTTTTTGTTTGCTTTATTTTAACCACAAAGCTTTTAATACGAACTAAGTAAAATCAGTGTGATAAGAAATGAAGGATATTTTTATATGAATTTAAATTTAACTTTGTTGGTTTACATGCAAACTTCTTAAAGCAAAATGCATACAGTACAATGATAAGGTTAATATGTGATGTTCAAAGAGAAACATATAACAGGTTCACTATACCATTTATTATTTAGTTGAAATTTACCACTATTACACTATGACTGGTAAGCAGAATATTCCAATAAAAAACTTTACTCAACACTCTCGACCCCTAAATCAACATTCATACATACAGGTTTTAATTTTAATAACTAAATAATTACTAACTTAAAGTGCCAATTCTTGTCAGTGGACACCCGTTGTTTGACATCAATGAAAGCTCCAGGAACACTTCCAATTGGCTGATTCCAACAGTCACATATACGTCTATAGATGTTTCTTGTGTAGAAGCTTTCAAAACTATGGTAAAGTGGTACATATCCCTAAAAGTAAAAATGTTTTGATAAAGTCAGCTCACTCTTCCAATGAACTGGTTTTAAAAATCATATATATTTCAAAATTAAAGCTATAGTACTTTCCAGTGTACATGTGTGGAAATACCACTAAGTAAATATGTAATAAAAGAAACCCCTGAAATATGATAATCATATTAAAAACATTTCATAAAACCAAAACTCACACACATATAGCATGATTTATCAGCATGCTTGTAATAGTTATCAATGTACACATAATAAGGATATAACCATTTCCAAACAAATTAGGTTACTGATATGCATAATAAGACCATCAATGTACATATACAATCCATTCACACTTTTGAAGGTACAGATTTCCACATATATTGGCACTGTTAGCTTAAATTCATTATGAAAACATAACAGGCAGTCATCTATAACATTTGAGAATACAATATGTAAACAATCTTTCCTTTAACACCAAAACAAAAGAGGGGTAGGCCACCTGGATTGGAAAAGCTGACATAATTATGACTTTAGAAAGAAAACAGATATCAGTCAAGAAAGATGTTTATGAAAAATGAGAAAATAGCCAGAAAACAGACTCTCCATGTAAAATTAAGAATGAAGCAATCTATTAATTTGGTCTTGAAAGAGCAGCAAGTAAACATTTGTTAATGAAATGAATTACTGAATGAAATATATTTGACAAGCAAGAAATATTAATAAAAATTTACAGATAGGAGATCAGTTTCTTTAGAAGGAGAAAGCAATCCTAAAGCCATTTCAAGAAGGAGTTTGGGTCATCGTATGTCACTAGATGACTCTATTTGTAAACTGTACCAGACATTGTCATACATACTAGGTAGGTTGAGAGATATCAACTGGAGGGGATACACTCTGTTACTAGTGGGTGAAAATAGTATAAAGATGTTTAATCTATAAGCAGGACTGATTGGTGTAAAGTTCAGAGCCAGAGAAATTTTTTGATGGCATGAGAGTATTTTTATACCTTATTAGCCAATGTGTGCCCACTTCAAAAATGGCAGCTCCATTCTAATAGGATCCTAGCTTGCTATAACTCAATGGCCTTGTTAGGGTGGACAGGGCTAGGAATAGGAGTTCTGAACAGTGAGAGATCAATGCATTGTCTATAAACAATGATACATTAAAAATTAGTGCCCAGGTGGATGCCTTTCAAAACAATGAAGCTTATGTACTCAGTGGAAGACCTTGAATGTCCAGTAGGAGGAGAACAGATAAACCATCGGTCTAAACAACGAGCTGGTAAATGCCATATCCAGACTCCACCAATCTCACATTATCATAGATCAAGGTGATCAGGGGAGACAAGTACTGCCTAGAGAAGCTTCACAAGACTAAAATCTTAAGAGTCTGGAAAGTTCACTCTCTGGCTTTAACTTCGTAACACTGCTGACCCAAAGGCTGGGATGGCCATTGCAGTTCAACTTAACAGTAACATCCTCTATGAATATTATGACAAAGTTCAGTGGAACAATTACCATTGCAAGCTACAAACTACTCAGATAACTCATCTGAGAATACTCATATTAAAACAGTGTACCAGATAAGATGCGTATATGCAAAATATGCATTTTTTTACATAAAAAACATTACAAGTAAAAATTGTGCATACCAACTACATATATTATTCACCAGTATGTATATCATTTACATAAATAAGCACATTCCCAAGTTCAATAAAAACCTTTATTGATAATAAACATAAGCAAAAAAATATGGGAGATCATTCTCACTGTAGGATGACTGAAAAATAATATAGCCATTGTAGAGTGCTTTGACATAAAGTCCTTTACACCAAATTCTACAAATTAGTGGCATTCCACCACTATAGTCTACTGCAGAGGGAATATGGAATCAAATCACAGGTTAGGCCTCTATATCATTACAGATTCTTTTATCTTCTTTATGAGATTACAATTTTTAGTGAAGAAAAATTCACAAGTGATATATAGCAATTATATGTGGTTTAGGGGTTACTGTTGAACTGAAAATCATACTAGCCTAATTTGACAGACAGATGTAAACAAAGCACTTGTATTGAATTTACTCTGTAATTTTCTTGTGTGGTTTATAATGGATGTTAATTACGGAATACAAAAGGCAAGTACAGAATAAATACAGCAAAACAGTACCAAAATGTCAGGTGTTGTACAATGAAAAAAGTCACTGAAACTTGAAAATACACTAGTTTTCAGCATTACAGTTTATTTCAAGAAGTAAAATACTCATTAAGTTAAAAGCTTGTCTGGAACACTGTCTGAACAACCATTGCATACACGAAAAGTAACAGCATATCATGCTGAAGATTGGATGTTCCTGCTTGACCTGAGTGAGAACATTCCTATGTATCTAGTGGTAATTCAATGTCTATTCCAGACCTGGGATACAGGTGAAAACACTAACGGTCAATATCAATTATATACTATTAAATTTGGGTAGACCAACAAGAGTTTCTAAGCAAAAAGTCTTTCTGTATACACTTTGCTTTTGCTAACCCTACCTTGAGCATCAACTCTACCTGGCACAGGGGAACTTAATGTATGTAGGATCACCTCAAGTGTGAGATGTGCAAGAAGACTGGAAGACAAAGTGGTATAAAAAAATTTAAATCCCGTACAAAGATGTCAAGCTTTCTGGCAGTGCTCATACCTTCAAGCATCTCTCCTTCATGGAGAAAAGTCAAAGCAAAAACTTCTACAAAAGGAACTCCTTATACTGGTGGAAAAGTAATACTAATAAACTAAAAAAAACACACCATAAGGCACAGATTACATTAGTGTGGGTAAGGCATAAACCAGCCCAGGCAGAAGACATAAGCATTGCACAGAATACAGCCTATGTCCTCTATAGGCTATCAGCTTTCAGTAATGTGGTACCCCACTCTATATAAGATTATGATCAAGGCAAGGCCTATATGCACAGATACATTACACAGTGTGACCATAGTTACATGTAGTAGGGACTTATGCCATAAGCTACAACTACATGCAGATAGTGAAGCCATAATTAGCTGAGGTCCATATGGTGTAAGAATCTCCACTTTTAAGAAGCTTACAGAAGCCAAACTGTTGAAGTTAGTGTTAAATATCCAATTAGTTGGACAGTAGGTAGCATCCCACTTTCACATATTTGACTTATATAGCAACTGTAAATTATATTATTATATTACTTCTCTGGGGGCATGCCCCCAGACCCCTATAGATTGAGCTGCTTCTAGCAGTTCATTATACTTTCAATCTCTCATTTGTAAAATCTGCATGTCTAGCCTAGTATCCCCACTTTACAACTCCTTCCCACACCACTGGGGAGCATCCTTGAAATATGGACTTTATCAGATTTTTACCCACACCCTCGAAGGATCACTCTCCTCTTAAAGACCATGAATCATCATACTATAAAACATCATTGTCAAGATTCCAGAAACTGCTGTATCTGTAAAGCCTGCCTATCACATTGAATCTCTACCATCATCATCATTAGGTGGTTATCACAGTAGAAGAGAAACCTGGTTCATGGTGCTGAACTTGCAGTTGATAAATGGGAAGGTAACCTTATGTCTGGAAGAGTCCACCTACTTGCCTGTGTTGACAAATTGCTCACAATCAGCAATAGATTAGATCACCATCCTTACTGGTCTGCAATAAGGATCACCACTCTCACCTGTCCTCTTCAACATCAACAAGCATGGATCTAGCCCTTCTTGATAATTCAACCAGATACTGGGTGCTAATCTTTGTTGACTAAAGTTTAGCATACAGGACTCTTGCAAAGCTAAAACCAAAAGCAACATGCAACCATTCCTTAGCAAGGTGAGCAAATGGTACAATGACACAGAAATGGTCAATCCTGCCAAAGCCACAGTGTTAGATATACGTGACTGTTTCAGTTTAAATTTAATGCGAGCATTATGGTTTAGATAGTTTATATAACATGGGTGTCATATTTAGTTATCTTTAGAAGCGATAATTAATGGTAAGTTTATTTATGAATCATACTTTGTGCAGTTCAATTGTTACCAGTTAGTGATTGTTTACAATAGTGAGATTATTGCTTCATGTTGCTAGAACTTTCCAAGTTTCTCACTGGTATAATTGTGTATTATTGCAGCAGAATGGATATCTAGTACTGCATGGAATATATAAATATGCATCAAAAATCATTATTTAGTTTAGTTTTAGACTGTGTGATCATGAGTTTAGTAATAAAGAGTGTATAGTGGAGATTTTTAAAGTGAAATTATCACAGACTGTATTTTAATAACAGAGTACAGTAGAAAATTTGTCTTGTCAATTGTGTTCTAAAGTAACTGAACCAGAATGTTCAGTCTTTGACAAATAAGAAACAATTATTTAAAGCTCTGGATACAATTTTGGTAACCAACAGTGTAACAAACATTTGTATATACATTTGATTTGTTTTTAATATTTTATTTTAAAACAAGCAGACTATGTTGCTGTTTGTTTATAATTAAAATTTATCACCCACAAGTCACAGACACCTACTGTACAGAATCTTGCCTTTCAAAACCTGACACACAGCCATGTTCTGCACACAAAAACAGACATGCTGATGAGGTCAAAGCTTCACTATCCCTTGTGGACCCTACTAAACCTCTAGAAGAAACACTGAAGTACTTGGGGATAACCTTTTGATAGACAACTCAACTTTACCAACCACATTAATGTTCTGATAACAATAGCTACCAAAAGTTGCAAAAGGAAATAGAACTGAAGAATATCACCTGCTTATGCTCTACCAAAGTCTTATCTGCTATTTCCTGGATTAAGCACTACTCGTATGAGTCCACACAGCTATATAAAATTGAGATGATATATGAACACCTATTTAAGGCTGGTCATGGAATGTACCTGAGTCCAGTAACAAAGCCAGATATGAAAGTTTGGGTGGGCCCAGAGTTATGATGAATGGGCAGGAGAGATACAAACCATTCAAAACAAGTCACAAGGAGCTAAAAAAAGTGCTACATATGACATATTTGGACATGGGAACCAGCATGCAGACTCTGATTGGGTGGGCCTGAGCACTGAGTGGGTAGACTGTGGTCCACCTAGACCCTCTTGTTACTACACAACTGCTCCAGCTGCCTCCATCAAAGCCCTTTTACAGCTAGTAGCACCTTACATAACCAACAGTGCTTATAAGCAAAATTGTTTACTTGGGTCTTGCAGTGTAAAGAACATGCATTCTATCAGAGTCACTGCTCTTTACTATCCCAGCTCCACAGGCACCAAACAATGAAAAGATTGCCAAAAAGGCACATTAGGAGATAGAATTGGTTTGACAGGTGTTTTACTGCAATCACAATCCAATACCCCCTCCCCAAAAGGTAGAATAAACATTTGGCACCACTGGTTACTACAGCTGATTTATACAAGCTCGATCCATTGGTCGTGGTTTTGCTAGATAGTAGAGAAGGACGGTGCACATTACTAATTAGATTGACTAACTTAAGAGAGTCTTGGTTTCCATGGAAAACAGCCTAGACAGAAAATGTAGAGATTGAGCAAAGGGGAAAGTAGAAGAAGCCTGTCAACACACATATGAAGACCATGATGGACAGTCACAGATGATTCCTAGAGCAAAGGAGCTGGTTGAGCATTCACTGTCTCATGGAGAAACAGTACAAGGATAGAGCTGGAAGCCGTGAGGAAACTTTTCTTTGGGTTCCTGAAATAAATGAACATTAAATCAGACATTGCCACTGACATAATATTTTGACTATCTCACAAGCAGTATTACAATCCTCTTTCTTTACTTTTTTGATACATCAAAAGACAGTGCCTGAGGATAAGAAAGTTGCTAATGTTACTTCTATTTTTCAAGGAGTGATAACAGTTACCCTGAAAATTATAGGCCAGAATTAGTCCTATTTCTGTAGTGGGAAACATTCTAGACAGTCTGGTAAAAGAAGCTTTACAAAATCATTCAGTGAATTATGAAATCATACAAGAAAGCCAACATGAATTCCTCAAAAGAAAACCTTTCCTTACTAATTCTTATTTTTTCAAGGATGTTACTTGTTATCTAGACAATGGGAAGAGTGTGGTCTTGGTGTATTTATTTTTAAAAATCTTTTGATAGGGTGCCACACAAAAGATTAGCCAAGAAAATTCATATCATTAGAGGTTAGGGAAATACTAGTTAATTGGGCTGTACAGTGGTTGGATGTAAGAAAGCAAAAGGTTATTATTGTAGTGCCTACTGGATCAGTGCTTGAGTATTTGATTTTTGTTATTTACATTAATGATACTGATAGGTGCATAATTAGTAAATATGTAAAATTTTGGGGTGGCATTAAACTCTTAAATATTAGAGAATGACATTGGTAGATTGGACAAATATTTGACATACGATTCTTAATTATATTAAGTGTAAGGTAATGCATTTGGGTTATCATAATCTGGATCTCTGATTTAATGTAGATAGGAAGCAACTTAATAACTTGATTGAAGAAAAGGTTATTAGGGGTTCAATAGGATAAAGGCTTCTGATTTCCTTGTGCTATATTCTGAAAATAACAGGACAAGAGGGTACAAGTTTTAACATTTGGACAAATAGTTTAGGTTCCATTTAAGACAGTTTTATTTTTCTATGAAGGTGATTGACTTATGGAGGCTAGCACCGTACAGATGTTTAATAGAGGAATCAATGATTTCCTGAAAAACAAAAGGTGGGTTTAAATTTTTACTTTTCTCATAAATGTACAAAGACAACCCTGAAGGATAAAAGGGACCCTTGTTGTCTGTATGTTACTTTACTCTGAAAAAATCTGTGTGTCAGATCAGCCTACTTGTTGCTCTACCTCTAAGCATTGCATTCCAAATGAAATAAAACAAAGGATTATTTATAATGTTTGCAAGGATTAAGTATGTATTGAAACTAAATATTGGAAGGTTTTAATTTTTACTTTTTGCCATTAGATGGAACTTGTACTATACCTACATACCACAGTAAGGTTAATATTCAATCCAATCATAACTTCTGTTCTTAAATCTACATCAACAACAAGTTATTATGTGGATTAATATTTCCTATGAGTCTAAGAAAATTACATGAAGCCAATATTTTTATAAGACTGAGGCTTATCTACATTCAGCACTTTTAAAAAACTAAAACATCATATGCAGCTAGTATTTTCATATAAATAGAATATTTTGCTAGTCCACTATTTTTGTATGATTTAATATTTCTAACTACTATTTTTTATACCAATGAAAGTATAAAATAGGGTCAGAATTTCTAAGACTAAAATATTATGAGGTTGTGTATTTTTACAAGTCTAAATATGAAGGTCATTATTTTTATACCACTGAAACATTATATGGGACCTGTATTTTATTAAAACAGTAAAAAATTGTAAGGTAGGTCGTAAATAACTAGAGAAAAGTTGAGGATCACCATTTTACACAACAAACAAATTATATTTAATAGAAGTAAGATATGAGGTAAATTATTTTTATACTTCAGAATAATTGAACTACAACTCTAAAAGCCCACATGTACATGTAAAGTCATATAGAACTTACAAAACATATCAAAAATTGAAGTGAAAGAAGAATTTTTTTTTTATAAATCTCTCATATTTCTTTGAGATAAGTTGGTACAAACAACACTACATAAGGTAGAACAAACAACACTAAACTCATTAAAAAGTTATAGATCTCAGAATTTTAAAGTGTGATTAATTGGACATTTATATTTGGAATATAAAATCTTTACCTTTCTATCTTTTTCCATGGCTGAATGGCTTTCTACAAGTCCATTTCTCCGCATAAAATCTCGTATGTGACCAAAGATTGTCAAAACTGCATAACATAGGTATGTAAGAATGGCAACATAAAGAGGTGTTTCTTCAAAATGTTCAAAACTTTTGTCATCCAGCTTTATCCTTTTAGGGGAATTCTAACAAAACAGACAAGCACTGAGCAAAATTTAACGATATGCTGCCTGAAAAAAAGACACTCAAATAAATATCTACATAGTTACAATTTCTTTCCAAATAATACTTCCTTTGTGATTTTTTTTTTTATAAGTATCTTTATTTTATAATAAATCTATTTCATAAAACATCATCAATAAATCTGGAAAATAATAGACAAAATATTTTTTGTGAAATGTACAACTGTGTTTTTTCTTCAATTCTGTAAGATATCCTTCTTTTGAAATAAATTTAACATTTTGCAGCATAAATTTAGTTAATCTGTAATAAATCAGTAATTGTACAAATCTGCTCTAACTGTGCCAGAGGCTTTCTGAATACATATGGCCTATCATCTAGGTTAATGAGGATAGCAAAACATACTTTTTCCTCATCACTAAAATGTTCACTTCTATCATAAAAATGGTCCACACAGTACCTTGGATTAGGCTTTAAAATCAATGATTACTTAAAAAAAAACAATAAAACATCAATTTACAAAGTTCAAAACAAAGGGCCTTGTTTGAATTTCAACAAATAAAACCAAGAATTTGGAAAAATACTACTACTACTACTTATGAACTTTCTATAACTATTATTCAACTTTGACAAGAGAGTGTACAGCAATAAATTCCACATAATTATTTACTACCAGGTACCAGGATATAGAGTACAATTGCAGTATCACTTCAAGATCCAAACAAATCAGTTAAACCCAGATGATAACTTATAAACACTTTTCAATTTGAATAAAATCCTTTAAAGAAAAGCTGAAAATTGCAATACAAAAAGCAGGGTGAATCAGAAGTTACAGGCAAATGCATTATACTGAATACAAGTATCAATTCCAACTCACTTTTTAGGCCAGTTATTATAAACAATATTTTGTAGTAATAGTTTTTGCACTTTTATCTCTCAATTTATCACATGACAATTCACTTTTATTTTTAAACACAAAAACAGTTCTGTACAATTAAACCACCCCTTGTTACCCCAACTATTTAGAATATAGTAAAAAACAAACAAATGTTAGTAAATCCTTTAATCCCTCTCCACTGTAGAAGTCTTTGGTTTATTGGTTCAGTAGCTAGCTGTAAACTTTAATTAATAGTTTAAAGTTTAATCTTAATAAAACAAATGACATTGTTTTGCAATAGGCTCATCTTATATATTCAGCATAATATCAGATGTGTATATACTGAACTAAGTTTTCGACTTGCTAGGGTACTATGTTTAGTGTTTTCTAAGAATTTAAGAGTGAAAATAAAGAAAAATGTATAACGATATGTCAACCATGCTATATCTGCCTTATTCAGTACCGACGGAGCCTTTCGTCTAGTACCAGGACTCAGTAAGCGGGATAAGATACGATAGACTCCGTCCGTAGTGGTTGACTTCACCGCGGAAGAAAAGGTGGTCACGCTATGTTGCAGTATACAATTTATATTAACAATTTGGAATGCAAACAATAAATCACTGTAATTTGTAAATAATATTTACATAAATAAGTTTACTATTAAAAGTTACTGATCTAATATCATAATCTATATATTGTAAAATAGTACCATTTGCTTACTTTAGGATAAATAAACCCATTTGATGACTTCTGGACAAATCCATTTTTCCTCCTTTCCAAAGCCATTAGCGTTTCTCAACACATTTATTTCCTGCGTTTGCACCACTCTCTTAGAAACACACCTTTACTAACCGTAAACATAGCTCTGACCGTAAACATCCTGTAGCGTCCTCTGTGTAGAATATTTATAGTTCATTATTAAATATTAAAAAAATCCTACAAATATATGAACTTCAGAAATAAAAATATATAAATAAACGAAGAGATTGCATCAAAGCTATATTTAAAACGAACTTAAACGAAGTCTACGATATTATTATTTTGAAATTAATCGTATTTCTTCTCATACAAGACTGATAAGACATGATAAAATTGATTTGTTTGTTATTAATTGCTCTGCCTACATCGGGTCACCGTAGACTTGCCCTAAACCACCGGAGGTCGATAAAAGTAGTAAATAAGAGCTAAAAATGGTAGGGTATAAAGTTTGTACCCTAGGAATGCAGGTATATTTTCTAATTAATTAATTAATTTTATATGAATAAATTATTTTAGTTATTATTAATTTTCAGAGATATTAACAGCGATATTTTTGCAAAATTAAGCTTGACCAAAAAAGAGGTAGAAAAGTGCAGTCGAGGTAGTCAAACGTCGGTAAATTCCTTTGTGAGCCAATCAAAATTAAGATCATTCATGAAATGAATTCGTGGCGTATTCATAGAGTAATTATTGGTAAAAATCAGTTAGATTAACGACTTCAGATATGTTGAAAAGCCAGTGTGATTTGGTAACACTACGTTCCAACAATGGCTTTTATGTCATGTTGCTCAGCAACAAAAGTATAACTTAATATTGTTGTTAGCCTATGTACTGAAATTATAAAATGAAATGTATATAGTGTTGCGTCATCGAGTCACATGACTACTGTGACGCAACGTTTCTAGAACTATCATGTACTTTGGCGAATGTTCTAGTTCTTACTAGATATAGGGTAGGCTGGTATATAAAAGAGGGGAATGTAATGTGTGGGTAGATAGTGAGTAATTGAACGGCAGTCACGGGGTATTGTTGAAGTTAACGTTCGTTCGTTACACTGTTTGTTTTAGCGCGATTGTTGAAGTTGAGTGTAT